CCTGCGTTCTTTGTACACAGGTCAAGACCACACAGTCAGTAGGAGTTGCAGCAGCCCTGATGCTAAAATTACAATCATTCCTCACCAGGCCTTCATAATACTCAAAGGAAAGAGAAAAATACAATCATTACTTCTTTTAGTGCAGAGCCTGACAGCTTTGAGAATACCCCCACATCTGAGGAAGGAGATAGAAAGCATAGAATAGAGATAGAATCATAGAATCTTTCGGTTGGAAGGGACCTTTAAGCGTCATCTAGTCCAACCCCCCTGCAATGAGCAGGGACATCTTCAACTAGACCACGGTGCTCAGAGCCCCATCCAACCTGACCTTGAATCCTTCCAGGGATGGGGCATCAACCACCTCTCTGGGCAACCTGTGCCAGTGCCTCATCACCCTCACTGTGAAAAATTTCTTCCTTATATCTGGTCTAAATCTATCCTCTTTTAGTTTAAAACGATTACTCCTTGTCCTATCGCAACTGGCCCTCCTAAAAAGTCTGTCCCCATTTGTCTTATAGGCCCCCTTTAAGTACTGGCAGGCTGCAATAAGGTCTCCCTGGAGCCTTCTCTTCTCCAGGCTGAACAACCCCAACTTTCTCACCCTGCCTCCATAGGAGAGGTGTTCCTCTGATGATCTTTGTGGCCCTCCTCTAGACCTGCTCCATCAGGTCCACATCCTTTGTGAATGGGGGACTCCAGAGCTGGATGCAGTGCTCCAGGTGGGGTCTCAGCAGAGCAGAGTAGAGGGGAAGAATCACCTCCCTTGACCTGCTGGCCACGTTTCTTTTGATGCAGCCCAAGATACAGTTGGCTTTCTGGGCTACAAACACACATTGCCGACTCATGTCCAGCTTTTCATCCACCAGTACCCCCAAGTCCTTCTTGGCAGGGCTGCTCTTGATCCCTTCATCCCCCAGCCTGTACTGATACCAGGGGTTGCCCTGACCCAGGTGCAGGACCCTGCACTTGGCCTTGTTGAGCCTCATGAGGTCCACATGGGCCTGTTCCTTGAGCCTGTCCAGGTCCCTCTGTGCTACTCTACAGACATGTAGGTGGTACGAATGGGGAAAGGCTATACCGTACTTTATGTTGTTGTCTGATGTGTAGTTGGCAGCTGTAATGGCTTAAAAAGGCAAAATTTATTTATCACAATTCCTGGCATGGCATGTTTTTGCTGTCTGCAGGAAATGCTGTGATTTTGCAGCTGTCTTTGGAAAACCTCATCAGTGGTACTGTGTCCTAAAAATATGTGTGGTTTTTCCGCTTCCTTTTGTGACCAGGCACATCCTCTGCTGTGGTGGTGATTAAATGTTTTGAGAGAGCAGCAGAATAGGCTTTCTACTTATGTGGCTCTTTAATTTCTTAACAATCTAAATACATGTTTAGACTTCAGCAATAGAATTTAATGTTAGAAAAGTTACTTTAAAGTAAACTTCAGTGTTGTTACTATTGACGTCTTAGAGGCAGAATCTAAGATTCTTGAACTTAATTCGTAAATGAAATGTAGCTTATTCTTAACTGAACTCTTAAATTCAATTTTAGTTGGCCAAATATTTTATCATTTTTATCTATTTCAATATCGGTTCAATTTTAGTAGTAAGTAAACACAGGAAAGACTCTTTGGGGGGCTTTTTTTGGTAGCAAGTTTTCTCTGGTAAACATGAGATTTGTTTTTTTTTTTGAATTAGTGATTTAAAGAAACAGACAAATCCTTTTAACTGAATTTCTTTCTAATTGGTACAGAAACAAAGAAATGGGCAATTTTATTCCCTGGAAGTTGTGATCTAGTATGTTATGAGTAATTACTGTTTTGTGTGATGTACTTTACATTTTCTTTTAACCTTAATCTGTCTGGGAAGTAAGTTGATTTCTTTTGTCTTCAGAATCATGAGTTTGTTTAATCTTTGGTGGGAAAAGTGAACATAAATGAAGAAAAAAATACTGACATTGTAACATCAGTTGGTCAGGGAAAAGCTTTTTCCACTATGAATCTCAAAAGTAATGAGGAAGGTACAAATGTCTTTTTATTCTCAAAGCAGTCTGAGTCCTCACTGATGTGGTGCTGGCCCACTGTCCTTTACCTGGCTAGTTCAATCCTATTTGAAGGTCTCCAGGCCCAACAGGACAAACAACCTTTTCATGTCAATGTAAAATAGTTACTTTTCCCTTCTAGGGTTACTCCCTTGAGGTTTTGAAAGGAACTAGGCTAGCTGGAGCAACTCGAATGTCTTCCTGGCCTTGTCCTGTACTTAATACACTTTGTCCTTTTGGACACAGAAAACCTCCCAAGTATTCTTCTCCAGCATTTGCCTCTCCAAAGCTTGTATCTGAGACTGATGTTTTAAACAAGCAACTGAAATTATATATTGCCTAACTACAAAATAAAGTATAAATAAAATTTGGTCATTTCTTGCTCTGTTGAAAAGCTGTTACAGCAGTGTATGTGAGTAAAGTTAATTTTAGATCTCGTGTTTATAGGCAACTGGGGGAGGATATGAAGGTGAAGATGCATATCCCAATGCAGAACTTTTTTTCTTGGACATTCATAATATTCATGTCATGCGGGAATCTTTGAAGAAGTTGAAGGACATTGTTTATCCTAATGTGGAAGAATCACACTGGTTGTCGAGTCTGGAATCAACCCATTGGTTAGAACATATAAAGGTAATTTTTTCCTGTTTGTTTGAAGTAATGTTTGTCCAAATCTATGGTATCAGACTTGCTTTCTTTGCTAGGCTTTGAGATAGTCCTGATATGGAACACATCAAACTATTTGGACTACAAAAGCAGCATCACTGAGTGTAGTCTGATTGTCTTTACATGTGTGAGAAATGATTTATTTTGGCTTCTAGCAATACAGGACTACAGATAGGTGTCACTGTGAAGGATTAATATTTACTTTAGTTGTCAGTATGTACATGACTATTTTGTGAATTACAGTTTTGCAAATGTCTTGTAAATTTATTTGTAAATGTTGTAATTTTCATCTTATAGCACAAAAAAAATACTTAAACTGGTAGTTAATCAGTGTTCTTACTAGTTGACCTTTGAACCTTTTGCATCAAGTACAGCTGTACAAAAGTATTTAGAGTATTATGTAATGAATCCTACTTAATAAAATTTTCATTTTAAGTTAATATTTGGAAAGTAAGCATCTTGGGTACAAGCTCATTTTTCCAACAACTGAGGTATTTCAGTAATTTAGTTCAAAGAAAAGAGCCAAAAGATAAACAGAATTTTTAGAGAGTATATCCTATGGTAAATCCTCTCTGTCTTCAAAAAAGAAGCTTATGTTCTTTGGTTTATCAAGGTTACTGTTTTCTGCCCCATTTTTTAAGAATTTGCTGTGAGAGGAATCAGATCTTAATAAGAGATTAGGGAACCAATCTGCTTCTCTATTTTTATATAAGAAATTTACTTGATCTCCTAGAAAATTCTTTTCCAATTAACTACACCATGCTCTTTAGGTCTTTTAATGGAAACAGTATCAATTTAGGTACTGTGTAGATACAAAGAAATCAATTTATTTTTGTTAGAATGATAACACTAATCTGTGGTTTTGGTGTCTGTTCCTCTTTGCTAGCTTGTCTTGACAGGAGCTATTCAAGTGGCAGACAAGGTATCCTCAGGAAGGAGCTCTGTGTTAGTTCACTGCAGTGATGGCTGGGACCGGACAGCACAGCTAACATCACTGGCCATGTTGATGCTAGACAGCTACTACAGAACAATTGAGGGCTTTGAAGTTCTGGTGCAAAAAGAGTGGATAAGCTTTGGACACAAATTTGCATCGGTAAGAATTAGACGGTAATTGCGAGGACCATGCAACATTAACATTCTAAAAAGCTTTTAATGTTAAACTACTCATTGTGTGAAGGTTTGATCATTCTTTTCGTTATTTTGGAATTCTGGTTTAAAATGTTTCCAGGTAAATCTGAGCAGACCTTTTGGTTTTGGACCTGTTTGGCTTTTTTTTTTTCTTTTCTTCTCTGAGACTTCATATTTTCACGTTCATATAGGGTCCTTTACACCCTATTAAAAACACTGTTACTGTGTTTATTAAGTTACTGTGTTAATTGGGTTACTGTGGTTATTAAGCAAAGAAAATGAGAAGGCAGAAAAATTATGTCCTCCCAAACTTTTCAGAAGATGATCAAATAGGGCTGGGACATGAGGCTTCTCCCTCACCCTCCTTCTGGTCAGGAGGGGCAGATGAATGAGTCTGCCAGTGTCTTTTAAGTGATGTTTTGAATGCTTCTTCCCAGATGTTCTAAACTTGTCAAAATAGCTCTTAAGAGGCTGTCAGTAGTAATGCTGGCTCTAGTTCTGTTCAGTTGTCTTCTGGATGCTTAGAACGTTAAGTAGAATTTGTCTATAGCAAGTCTTTAATAACTTACCCATGTATAATGCAAGGTCAAGGGTGTTTGTGTTAGGAAACTTTTCAGAGTCTTACTGGAACTTCTCTTAAGTTTGGCAGCTAACCATTTAACCAGGAAATCTGTATGAAGAACCTGGAGAAGCAGAATAGGTTGCCAGGGAGAGTGTGCTGGGATATGTACACATGAAACATATGTTGGGAGCTTTGCAACAGTGTTGCTTGTTGATGCTGAACCTTGTAATTCACAGTAGAAGTTGTTTGCACAGACGATTTGCCCCTAGTGAAATATTCTAAAGATATTACTTAATATTGCTAAAATTGGGAAAACAGGCAATTTGGAAAAATCAAGAAATGGAAAAATATACCTATGTATGTATTTCATGCCCATTTTACATTTGCAAGAGTGTGTCTCATTCATTTGGAAATTCATGTACAGGTGCTCAGCATGAATCACTTCACCATTTAAGTGTGCTTGTAGGCTGCGGCAGTCTTTGATCTGACGTTCTAAAGGCGCTTTGAGGATTAGGAGGTTTGCATTTTGATTGTTGGGAGCGGTATCTGCTGTAGTCCATTTTTGTTATGTACTTACCTGTAGTCTTCTGGTAGTGATGTGTTACATAAACGTTTGAAGTATTGTGTCTTGGTACAACCACAGGAAAACAGTGGCTTAGTTTTTTATTCTTGTGTTTCATTTTGTATTTTAAAAAAACATTATAATCATGATGCAGATAAAATTAAATTGTGTAACTAAGAGACTTGTAGCCTAGTGCATATGTTACGGTTTAAAACAAAGCTTAGAAAGAGAGATCTGCGTGTCCTTCACCATTATGAATAAATTTGAATAATCTATGATTCTTTTTATTAAACCATTAATTTTAGTTTGAATAATCAAAGGATTTTGTTTTCTCTCAACAGATAATGTTTTTCTCCTATTAGTGAGGTAGGACTTTTACACCCCTTCCAGATGACTAGCTCAGTCCACTGGTTCATCTCTGACATGTAGCAGCAGTAAGGGTGATTTAAATAGCTTGCTTTTGCTTAAACTACTATTTTATTTTCCCAACTTGTTCACTCAAGTAATAATCTTTGGAAATGGTTGAAGCGACTCTCATTTAGCCATTTGCTGTTTTCTGAGTACTGTATATTTTGATTTGATAGGTGGTTTAGCTTATAGTGAATGCTCCTTTTCTGGAGTGTTCTGTAGAATAAAAGCGGGTAATGCAAGCAGAAAATATTTTGGTCATACATGCTGTGTTTTAGTTTGGTAATTACTTGATAGAACTGTGAGTTTTAATAGTAAGGACTAGGCACTTCAGTGCAGTTAGCATTTCTTGAACCTCATCTCTGAAACTATTGTTCTTATGCCTTCCCTGAAGTGGGGAGTTGGAGAAGAGTAGGGTGTTTTTTATATTGTCTGAGTTAGATCAGGCCTCATATTTTCATGTTACCAGGGTTGCAATTTGGATGTTTTAATAACAGATAACTAAATAGTAGACTGCTTAATAGTTCCCCTCTGTATTTTCTATATAATGAAGCGCACAGTAAGTTTCCTTGTTGAAAAAGAATTCCCTACCCCAGCTTTTCTATGTATAGTGAACTCAGTGCACTATCCAGATAAAATTGCTTGCTATGTGGGATGTTGTTCTAATAATGCATTCTAATGTAAGAAATATGAGACATAGACATAACTATAGATGAAAAATACTCAGACATCCTAAAACACTAACCACAGTGAAAGTGGAAGGACTTTCGCTCCTTACTGAACACATGTATGACTTTGTTAACAGATACCACGTATTTTAAACCATGAAAACTGGAGAGCAAGGAGGCCAATTTGTCTTTCCTATAGTGATTTTCTAGTCATTTGCTACTGCTGACTGAGTTCAGCTACAATCCTTCATCTCCCTCTATTTCCTGCCATTCATTTCTATTAGTTTATACTATCTTGCAAATCATTGTACAGAGTAGTGTACTGGTTTTAGCGTTCTTCATGTCCTTAAGACATTAAGCCTGCTATCTTACAGGCAGCTAGGACAACATCTTAGTTCAACATACTCGCTCTTCTTTTGTCTCCTCCAGGCAAGTATATTCAAGCAGAGTTATGGAGTTAATAGAATCTCTTTTCCCTGAATCTCTTATCTGTTCTCAGCTATCAAATGTGAAAAGGAAGGAAAGAGCTTTTACCAAACCTACTTTTTGTCTGTGAGATAAATTCCTTTGGTTGTTACTTTGGAGTCCTCAGAATAAGCAACTCACTCAAACTTGAAAAATGTGCGTTAATTTTCTGTCAAGAACATGAACATTTCTTTGAGCTTGCTCATGTTCACTGTCTGCCTCCAGGGTGAATCTTTAGGTTCAGGTGTGGAGGGGGAAGAGGAGAATCTATGTGGATAGTTTCATGATCTAGATTCTCCAGTGACTTATATACTTTGTCTTCTTTTGTAATTTAACTTGGCTTTTGACAACTTATTATGTAAATATAGTTTAAAATATGTCTTGTTTATTTGCAAAGTAATGGATGCTTTAACTGTTCTGCTTATCCAATAACTAGCAGGTTTTTAGAACAAGACCAGTTATCACTTTGTAATTTTTCTCAGACATCTTTAGAACAGCTTTGCAGTATTTCTGTATATCTGAATCTCTCCTCCTTGGTGCAGTAACTAATTTTGGAATCATAAGAACAGGTTGCTCTATTACAGAAGCATTAATATTCTAGTGCAAAATAAGAAACAATGTCTATTGGCCATAAAATAGACTGTTCTGGTTAACAGGAGGCTGTATTGTTTCATTTCAGAGAATAGGCCACGGTGATAAAAATCATGCTGATGCAGACAGATCACCCATCTTTCTCCAGTTTATTGATTGTGTGTGGCAGATGTCTAAACAGGTATGTTACATAATTTCTCAGAAGGTAACATTGTTAAGAGATTACTGATTACCCCCCCCCCTAGATTCTTATTAAAAAAAAAAAATATTTGAAGAGGATGGCATACCCCTCTGCTCTGACAAAAAGAGAGTGTATTTAGTTTTAAACCATACCATCTCTCCACTCTATTTCTAAAAGTGGTATACAAGCTGTAGTTTTGTTGCTTAATATGGCATGGGCTATGCATGCAAGGCTGGTGTGTCTTGGATATGGGCTTCTCAGAAATGTATTGAGAGATGTGACCCAGCAGAAAGCTTTAATAGGAATTGCATCCATTGTAATAGGGTCTGTTGTTTTGTTTCACCGTTTTTGTGAAGCTGTCCCTTCAACTACAGGGACAAATGTTGTTTCATCAAAGCTTGAAAAGGAAGCTTGGAAGCTGTTGAGTGGTGATTTAAATGTTGTATTTTCAATAAGTAATGAAAAAAACCAGCAAACTTAGTTTAGGCAGTTAGAACATTTTGAGGAGAGTTCTTTTCAGTGACTAGTTTGAGAAAGTTGAACACCTCATGTCATCTGAACACTTACTCTGCTATGAAGTAGATGAAATTATTATCTTAATTATTTGTAGATGTATTCAGACTTCTAAATGCCACCTTTTAGCCTCTTAACCAGGGCATGTGCATCTCTCCCTGATTTTACGATGTGAAGAATGAATTTGTATTTTCTGTTGTTAGTTTCCTACAGCCTTTGAATTCAATGAGCAGTTCTTGATTACAATCCTGGATCACTTGTACAGCTGCCGGTTTGGTACTTTCTTGTACAACAGTGAGTCTCTTAGAGAAAAAGAGGTTAGTCAAACCACTGATTGTTTAATTGCTGTCTTGACTGTAGATGATTACAAAAAGTTTTGCTTGTATTGTATTTGGTTATATTCCTTATATGACAGTGGTTTTGAACTGGCTTTATTCTCATTATAGAACAGCTGCATGGTAAATTCCTTGGTTTTGGTAGCTTGAAGACTGCAGTTCCTAAAATATTTGTCAAGCACTGTTTTTGGAATATTTCTAATAAAGTAACTTATTATGCTTCTAAGTAAATCAGAAGTGTATTAATTTTAGGATGTAACCATGGCTTCTGTGATGTATTTCCTGATATTGGGCAAATATTTACTGTTCTTATTTCAATTTCATTTTAGAAAGTGACTGAGAAAACATTATCATTATGGTCATTGATAAACAGTGAAAAATCTAAATACACCAATCCTTTTTATACTAAAGAGCTAAATCGAGCGCTTTATCCAGTAGCCAGTATGCGTCATTTAGAGCTCTGGGTCAGTTACTACATCAGATGGAACCCAAGAATTCGGCAACAAGTAAGTAAATTCTCTATAATGTACAAAATGCTTTTAAAAGTCAGAAATAGGATTTTGTTCCGTAACTGACTTGTACAGTAGTACCTGTAATCTGTTCAGGTCTTTAATATTATATTTGTAAGGATGGATAAAAAAGGTGAAAATGATTATTCAGTTCCCTTTTTTATTTTTACTCACTCATCTCTTCTCAGAACACTGAACTGATTTCACTGCTTAGTATCATGTCGTCCTCAAGCTCTTTCTAGTCCTTTTTCTTGGGGACAGGGTTGGGGGAGTGTTTTTTAAGGGCATTTGATACTGCTAAAGGGTTGAATGACAATGCTTAGAAATAGGGCTTACTGATCCCCGAAGAGTTGGGCATTAGCATCACAAATATGCTTAGTTGCATTTGCTTAGTCTTTCTCCTTTTTCTGAGAGAGTGTATGCAGTCTTTTGCAAATTAAGATGACCTATGCAGTCCTTTCTCTTTCAAAACTGCTATCTGTATTGATGGCTTATGGTAAGACTTTTTTTAAATGTAGCTTTGATGACCCAACATTGTTTACACTGTGTAACTGTTGGATGAAAGCTGTTATTGAAAATCATACAACTGGATCAGATTAAAAGCTCAGAAAAGCTTTTATCAAATTACACGTATACAGTTCTGTGCTTTTAATGTTTACTATATGGTCACTCAATGTCTGTTACAATCTTGCTAGAAACCTTAGCAACGTGGCATGTAAAGGTAGTGTACAGAGACTTATTTGTCCTTCTCAACAAGCTGTGGAGTTCTGAGTGGGAGAAGATAGAGAAGCAATTTCTTTGACAGAAGCAGTCTTCACAATCCAGCCCCTGGAATGAATCGGGATTTTTCAAGCAATGCACTTCCCTTTCCACAGTTGATCTCCTGTATTATTTACAACACTTTAGAGGCTGCAAGAGTACCAGACAGTTTGCTATATTTTTCTTACAAGTATGTTGCCAGTTTTAATTTGAAGTTCTAGTTTTAAAGTTTTGTTGCTTGCTGTGAAAGATGAGGGCATTTTGCAAAAGGTGAGTCCAAAGATTTATTTTGGAAAATAAAGGAATATAGGGCATGCAAATTAGCTGTAAGTCTACTTAAAAATGCACTTTGCCATTATTCAGAGACGGTTTTTGGCAGGAGTTTCTTATTAGAAATGCAAACCCATGTGATAATCTTCTATGCTGCTACTCCTGGTCCCTCACATTCACCATTTTTATATACAAGATGCAACATTTTTTTTTTGTTGCGCACAAAATTTACGCTTCAACTTGACTTAAGCAACTGAATAGCGGACATGTCGCCTGAACCAGTTTTTTGATTACCTTTCTTAATGCCATTGCTTAGAAGCATGTTCCACATTAGACTTCACTCTAGTGAAGAGTGTGGTCTGTCACTAGCAACATCATTAACCCTACATCTCTAATCATCTTAGTAACTACATTCAGTCATTGATCCAACTTCTACAGTTGCCTAAACATTCATCGTCATTGTGGTCATCTGGGGTGCATAGTGAGCAGTACATGTAAGAGTGCTGGTTCAGCTGTTTGAACTGGTGAGGCATTTACATTTGCAGTAAACTGTACTGCTAATAGCTTTTAATGACAGGCAGTTAACTGTGAAACAGCAGCAACTTCTTGACAGGTATATACAGCTGAAGGTAACTTTAGGCTCCGTATCTGACATTTCACAGAATCACAGAAACACTAGG